TTCTAATTTATTCTGCTCCAATTTTACGTGCTTTCTTTACAAAAAAAAAAAAAAAAAAATGGCTGGGCTTACTGGGAATGAATTGTTAGTTTCGTATCTTGACTGAAATTGTGGGAAATATATATAATACAATTGAAGCTGCTAACTGAACGGTACTGTTCTTACTCATAAGCCTAGTACAGCTGGCATTGATTTGCATAAAGTGAAGATTCTGCATTTCATCACTGTAAGAAAATGTTAGGTGTGCAAAGCATAATAAATTCCACTGTCTGACGAGTCCGTATTTTCCTTGCATTACGCTGTTTTCCCCGTGAGATTCATTAATCAGTTTTTTCTTGGGCACTGCAAACTTTCGGAACATCGAGGGTCTTGCTTACCACTTGGAGTTTCTTCGTTTTTTCCTAGCTAAAATGTAACGTTAAAAAAAAAAGGTCGATTACATTCATTCTTCCCATGGTTTCTTTTTGTAGGAACTATTTCCCTTCAAACGTTCTTTATGTTTCGTTTGGTATAATACTGTCTGATATGCATGTTTCTTTATGTCGGTTCATCTTGGCCTGTATCTTTATTGGTAGTAGTGATGTTCTGCTTTACATTTTCTTAGATAATTTCCAAGTGCATGTATTTTCATCTGGTTTTTTCATTTTCATCTGTTTGTATCTAATTTTTTCTGTAGTCCACTGTCAAATTCAATGAAGTCCAACATAACACACTAATTCCCGATTCTCTGTCGTGTTACATTGTGCTTTTGTGGTTCTGCAGTCAATTTATTGCCATTTGTAGTTACACTGCTGTACGTCGAGTTGATTACCCACTGCTTTACATTTCGTCCGTTGAGCAACAGTCTTTTGTATCACATCACGAAAGTTCCATAGAGACTGAATAATGGATATCTTCACGGATCGAAGAGAACGATAAGGATGCGTGTTTTATGAAGTAAAAAGGTGTCAACTGTTTAGATTCTATAGAAAAGTACTCTAATAATCATCTCTTGGAAATCTTCAGCGTAAAGCCTCCAGTTCTTAGGTCGAGAAAGGATACGATGTTGCTGTGTAAAGCTATGGTTGGCTTCGGGATTTCGTACCGAGTCTTTTTCCAAAAAAATGACTTCGAGGTTATCGGTTGACAGATTACGTTGCAGATAGTTGTTAATGAGGTTGGATATGAATTGCTGGACGAACATTTAACCCGTGAAACAGCAGATTATTCCTCGGATGCTTCCGTGAGTTCAGCACCATTACGAAGAAGGAATAAGAGGAAAGCATATGTTCCACGTGGTGCCTGTAGCGTCTTGGTTCCCGCGGGAGTGGATTTATTCGAACCAGAATACGACCCTCTTCCCGGGCCTTCAAGTGGTATTTCATTGATAAACTTCATTATCACATTTTCAGTTAGGACGATTATAAATATACTAGAAAGCTTTCGACTACAAGCTGTAAAGCTGGAAATATGATGTATTGCAGAATATCATCTAAAGCTATTTGTCCAAGTTCGTCTCTGATTAATGGTAATTTAATTACAGGTTCAGCGAAAGGGTTGTGCAACGTTGAACCTTCACAAAAACATGCTAAGGTATTTGTTGTTTGTTAGATACTGTTTCAAACATAAAAGACAAGTATTTCAAAGTACAGATTTCACGTGACAAAATCCAAGTGGCTATTCTTCTGGACGTTATCACTAACGATTTTATAGCATTCCCTTCATCATTTGTCATTCCTTTGTCTTCGCCTTCCTAATAGTTTGAACAAGTGATTGAAATCTAGTATATGTTCATCTTGTAATTCTTTCATCTGCTTCGACATCCATAATTCTTCTTGTGATAAAGCTTAAGTAAAAAGCTTCGTTGGGATTTACTGGATAGTGAGGGACTCGAATTTCCTAATGAAAATATGGACTTGTCGGCGTATACGATATGTCAATATTTGCACAGACAACTCCAGTATGTGTTTCAGGATCTCTCTATTTTTACTTATACTTCTTTAAGTTAGGAAAACATTTTTATAAAAAGGAAACGTTTCTGGTTTGATTTTAATCCATTCATCGTAGTACTAAAATCTGTTACAGTTTTTTTCTACTTAATTTCCCTGCATATATAGTAAAGCTGTAATGTGAGGTACGATAAGGTCAAATCTCAAAATGCATTCAGAGAAAAGATAAATGACCATACATTCTTTAAAATATCTATGCAAAATAAATGATAAGTTAGGTGTTTCAAAAAGTATGTGTGATTCCAAGGAATTTTTATAGGAATAAATAATTTGTTGGTAGATCTGTGAGAATGCACTTACGGTGGAAATATTTGGTAAAGCTGTTGCTAGAGATGATGAATGAAGATGTCTTCATTCATTCATATCTTGTTTTTATAAAATATATCGCAGTTCAATCAGTATGCTGAAATATTTATGTGAAAGGCCAAAGGTGTACTACATATTGACACTTTACCCCTTATGATGACACTTTCAGGGCAGATATTTTGAGAACGAGTAGTACAACCCGGGGAAGCTTGATTTTAAAAAAGAGATGCCCATTCTGAAATAATTCAAATTCCCTCCTATCAACATCTTGTCTTTTGAGGACTAGTGTGCTGGGGTATTGAAGACATTTGTTGGTAGTATTTATGAACCGCTCAAGATGAATTTTCTACCAAGTGTACTTCTTTTGATTTGGCAGTTACTAAAATGTTTAAAAATTTTTTTGTGGCACTACAACACCTGTTTTGTGATAAACCGTTTAGGATATTTTTCCTGTATTTTTTCACCACTGTTTGAGAGCCGCATGCTGCCGTCTTCGGTAACGACAAAAAATCGTCGCGCGAGTACGGACTTAATAAGGAATAATGCGTCCAGTGGAACAGTTAGTTCGCTTTCGAACAGCAATCCTGAGCCAGTAAGAAATAGAGATGTCCGAAATGTGAGAGGTGGCTCTACTCGTCGGTTCAAAAGCGACAAAATTAGAAGAGCTTTTTCGTCGGAATATTCGATAAGGAAACCAGTCAGTGATTCGTTACACATGACATTTGTTCGGCAGTCCAATGAACACGATATGTGTCCATCAGTGGGGTATGTTTTTTCTATACGATTTTCACGTTTTTAATGTTGCTCTGCCAAAATCTACCCAATACTTTATCATGGAATTGAGTTTTCAAATGATTAGGATGGACAGCATGTTGAGATATGCATGGGATTTGATATTTCAAACAATAACTCAACTCATTTGACGACAATTATTGCCGTAAATGAATTCTACGTTTCTGTCTTTAGATATGTTTTATTTCACATATTCTGTTTTAAATACTATTTTGTTCGTAAATGATTTTTGTTTCAGATGTCGTTCCCGTCCATCAAGTGTAGTTTCCCTCCGCCAACAGCCATTTGCTGTACCTTCTGTTGATCGTCCACTTATTCAGTTCACTGGTAGCACTTCTGGTCCTTCTCTTCATTCTCCAGAAATGAAAAAAACGGAACTTGATGCGCTGGAGAAAGTTCGTCTTGCTTCAAGTAGGGCTGAAAGTGGAAGTAATGTAATGGAACACAGTGAATCATGTCGACCTCCAATTAAAATTGTGCTGAAACCAGTCAAAAAATGTGAAATGAATTCATCCCTTCGAACAAAATGTGAGGTGCAGTATTCCTCACCTATGAACACTTCTGACGGTGTCATGCGAGCTCCAGTACGTTCCGTACCTGATCTTCGTTATCCGCCAGCTATTGAAAAAGCTGTGTTTAAAATTCGTTCTTCGGTCCCACAAAGACGTTCAGATACTGGATGTCCACCGATGTTTAAAGCTACTTCAACAGAAGTCAAGACTGTGAGCTATTTATTGCATCATGATTAAAATTGTGTCTAATAATTAAGCTTCTTCAATAGAAGTCAAGCTACAAATTTTTCACCATGCTAGCATGTTTAAGTTATGTCAGATGTTATTAACTCATTTTAATATGTTTCTCATTAGGATTTCATTCCCTTAAATGAATTAGTGGTCAGCAGTAAGGATTTCTCCTTACATTTCTGGTTAATAATATTAATAGTATAAGATTTATTGCTATTTATGTGAATATTTTACAGTTTGAAAAAAATGAAGGATGTTACTGTCTAAATAGCGCAACCTCACAAATGAATAAGATGCAGTGAGTTTCGGGATTTGATTTACATGAATTATGACATAAATTTTGGTATTATGCGTTAATTAAGCTTTACGCCTAAAATTTCCTTCTTACAGCACCTTGATCGTGGAAATGACGGAGGTGAATCTATTAGTATGAAAAATTGCTTGCCTCCGACGGGAAATTTCACGCATTTATTAACTGGAAGGCGAGAAGGTGCGCAAGAAATGTATGCAGCAAAAACTGGGATTGCGGGTAGCTTTCCAATAGGACCTACGGAGAATAATGGCTTTAACGTTGGTGACATTGTGTGGGCGAGGAATGGAATGTTTCCGTATTGGCCAGGTCGAATTCACGAATTTGTGAGGGAAAATAAAAAGGGTGGAGCATCCATTGTATGGTATGGTGATAATACGTACACTCCTTTCATCGAGTTTTCTCGAATCGAAAAATTTGCTGAGTGCTATGATACAAGGTTTGTGAAAAAAGTTATCTTGTTATATAATACATGAAAGTAGATGTTTTGGTCAAGAACAAAGGGCTATTAGGGTCCGTTCTTTCAAAATTTGTTTGCTGTTAAAGTAGAAATATTGCATGTGCATGTGCTTCATTGATTGTATTTATACTCGTAATGTTCAGGTTCAATCCCATGCGTCCAGATCTCAAGTACCACAAGGCTGTTGCGAGTGCTATCATCTCTTGCCTCCCTAATAAAGGCTATTTTGAAAAAAAGTTGTCCTCACAAGTTCATGAAGTGCTTATGAAACAGAAAATTGACCTTGGTGAGGTGAATATCATTGCAAAATGTAAGAAAAGGACGTCGAGTGGCTCATCCAGCAGACGAAGGTTGACACCTTTTTTTTCCATGTGGCAGTTGGAATTGGTTTTTTCTTTTCAGGCGTGCTTTGCGGTTGTTTGACTTGTCACCTGCTTCAGGAAGGTCGTTACTGCGAAAATGGAAATTCAAGAGACCGAGAGAACGGAAATTGTAAAAACCGTAATTCCAGCAGCTAGGTCAACTGGTGATGAGCCGGTTGAGGTTGATCCACCTTCATCGAGCACTTCTGTTATAGCTGTCACTTACGATTCTGATGCGGTGATTACATTAGGAACCGCTAATAGAGCATCCGTTGTTCCGAAAACGGATTCTTTTAACTCGAAGAGACATGTAAGTGGTGGTGACACACCACCGTTAGTTATTGCATATGATTCTGACGAGCTTTAGTACTTCTTTCATCAGTAACTGATGTATTTGTAGTTTTGATAGAAACCGGCCGGAAAAAGTAGATGTGTTTTGGATATCATATTTTCAGGGAATTCCAAATTGGTTAAAGACTATTTAATCATAGTTCGTTCTTAATGGTCTGTTTTTAAATTAACAATGATTGCTGTTGTAAATTAACGAATAGTGTTTTTTTCTTTATTTTTGCTCTGGTAAGTGCGTTATCTTTGTGTTTAGAGACAATTTTCATTAGGTTTCAGTCATGAAGACCAATGCTAACTCTAACATCCAAATATCTCTGCAATGCGTCTTTGTGGTCATACGTTTTTCTAAAAGTTTTCCAAAGAATGATTATCTCTGTCGGCTGATTTCGGTTTGTTTACGTCTTATAAATCTGATTTGTTATTATCGAAATGTTTCTATACCATACATTATGTTTGCTCGTTTGTGCATGGTTTTTCTTTTCTTTTATTTGAATTTATGTACGCATTGTTCATCTTTAATTTATTTCACTGGTTTCGCTAGTAATTTTGTTTTCTTTGATGAGTTATCCTTATGCATCATGCAATCACGATACAGAACGCAAGGAGGAAATTTACTGCTCGTAAGGCGAATCGTTAAGCATCACTTGTTATGTTTTCTGCTTTCCAGTCCAGTTGTTCTCAAAACTCAATAAAAATTTGCTTAGTTGAAGGAAGCATGAAGGGTGAGGAAAGGACTGCGGCGTTTTCAATTTTTGAATTTTCCGCTGTGTTGTAGCCAATATTTTATTAAGGATTTGGAGATCTTTTAGATTCAAAAAACATAGAGTACCTCATTTTTAAATACAATATATCTCTTAAATAAAACCAAAATATGTTGGGGAGGAAATGGGCAGAGTTGGCAGCATTTCAGTGAAATCTAGAACGGAGCATCTTCATCATTATTTCTGACGGTGATGAAATTTGGATGACGTTATTTGCTGTTGCATTAAATTTTTTATTGATGCTGATGGTTTTCCGTAACCTGTTTCTGAACTTGAATTAACTTACATTGTTGTGCAGCGCAGTGCACTTGAGCTCACGTCTTATTGAGTTTTTGTTTGGTTTGTTGATTTGCTTATTTTATTGTCCAGTATTGATAGAAGCTTCTTCTATGATTGATGTGTTTTAATGTAATGTTCTTCTCATTAACGTAATTTGGTTTTCATGGGAATAAAACTTTCACTTAAATATTTCCACTAAGGTATTCAATCGGAGATTTTTTTGGAAACAAACATAAGTATATGTTTTCATCTGATTTGCAGAAAAAAAACCCACGAAGAAATTGTTCTTTTATGTATTTAATCACCCGAAATGGGAGGTTCCTGAAAGTTTCTCCAAGTTGATACCGCTTTCGCCTTATTTATCCTGATCTGCAGAAGAAGAGAGCTACCACTTGGTTTTTTGAGACAGTAAATGGAGTTGAGACCTTCTCTTGAAGTGGCAGTGAAATTTTTTTCTCATATTTTCGCCATTTCGGGTGATTATTCTTTACTAAGTGCGGTAGGTTTTCCTTTTAGGCATTTATCCTTGAAATTCCATACGTTAGACCTGAGCATCATGCAAATGCGCTAAATGAAGTGTAACGTGTATGCTGGTTTTGTTGAAACTGTAAACTGCGTACCAAGATCGTTAAAAATAAGTTCGAAGCTTAGTTTAATCACCTTCCCTCTGCCTTCCCTTCGTTCTCTTCCCGTCCCTAGTCTCCCCTGTCCCCAACTTTCCTGGTGGCTCCTCGTTTCATTAACTTAACGACCGCTTTCTTCTCCTTCATCGTTGATCCCCGTGGCTTTGTCTTTGTTTCTTGTTATTTCTCTTGTTTCTTTGTTGGATACATCGCGACCATTCAGGATGTTAATGGTATGTATACTTTTATGTTTGAAACTTTATCTTTTATGTTTTATTTCTATGTTTGAAACAGCCATCATTCTGTCGACCCTCGATGTTAGTGCAAAAGTCCCCACTGTGTTTTATCTCGAATTTGCTGTAAACAGATAATATGTGAGGGATGAAGTTCTCATACACTGTGGTCATTCGCTTTATTTGGCATTTATATTCAACTGTAAACAGTTTGTCCTTCTTTTTCACTCCATCCTGTATTACATTGTCCACTATTTCTTTCACGCTAAAGTTCAACAATGGGTTTATATATATTTGGTAAATTGCCTCATACCTTCTCAGACTTTGCTATCCTCTGTTCTCAACGGGTCAGAATAGGTGCTTCAAGCGAATTTAATTTGAGGTATTCTGGAGACCAAAATCAAAACTGTGGGCTAATAGAACCGATGGATTGTCGGCTAAAATAAACGGACAAATGGATGAACAGACAAAGCATCCTCCATTTGGCTTTACTTATTTTGTACCACTGCTTAGGTGCGTACATTGGAGTGTTGGTCCTGACTGGAAACTCTTCTTGCTAATAAAATTGAGCCAGTAAAATGTTGCAGTGAAAACTTTCCTTCCAAGACGCAAATCAGTCATTAAAATAGGTAGCATCCACACTTACACGATTATCCAGTTTGCAGTAATCATCTTCCTAATTCAAAC